GGAAATGTTTGGATTGTAAGAAAGTTTTTTTTTTTTTTTTTTAACAGGAAAAAAAAAGGGCCTATCTTGGTAGATTCCTTTCTTTTACTACTCTTGCAATTGCCTCTGTTTCATTTGTAGTCTTTAACTTGGAGAATTTAATGATTCAGTCACTACAACAATGCTTATTATGCAAAAATTGGAGGAATTAGCACAAAAGAGATGAATTTTCTTGAGGTGAATTTTCTGTTTGCTTTGGGATTCGAATTGAATGTTGCACCCAACACCTTCCACACCTACTGTTCCTACCTGCAAAGAGAGATGATGCTGCAACCTCCAGTCATTCCAGACTCCTCTCTAACCGTTGGAAGTTCATCAGAGCTTCACTTGTGTTTCAATGAAGATGATTCCTCCCATCAAAACCAACAACAACAACTAACAGTTTAACCTGTAAATGTAATGTTAGATACAGAGATGCACCATACCCACTCGTTGCTGTCTTTCTTTTGGAGTAGGTTTCCCTTATCTGGATTGAAATTGTTTAGGTGTGTACTGTGTACAGATAGGAGACTTCACTTTACAGTCTGAAATTGTCTTTCTGAATTTGATGCTCTTTTGTTTCCTGTTTTGGGTCTTATCCATGTTAGCATGAGTGACACTGAAAAGTGCAGAGTATAGGCGGATATCAAGGAGATGAATAAGGAAATCAATCAATCAGCATTAATCTCTACATATTTGATATTTTGCTGTTCATACCAGTAAATGCATTCCTTGTATAGAATCACTAATTTAGGCTTGATTATAGCTGACAGTTTGTATATATATATATATATATATTGTAATCACGATAAGAGACATGCTTTCATGCGCATATCACTACCATTCATACTCTGATTTTATCAGAGAACAGAGGACCTGAGGTAGAAAATGGGTTCAAAATGAATATGAGTGGTGTTGAGAATTTGATGTAGAGAAGAATTTTGGCGGGGATGGTTATCGATACTCCTGTTTGATTCTCCGGAGAGGGAGAGGGGACATGGAACATGTGCCTGCAATAATTCTGCCAAAAATTTTGGACTAAAACCGACTTTTAGCTCATCACCTTACAAAATTGGTAGGTTTTAGTCTCTAACTTTATAATATGACACTCTTAGCCTTTTATCTTACAAAGTTGATAGGTTTTAACCACTCACTTTACAAAGTTGGTAGGTTTTAATCCCTCACCTTATATTATGATACTTTTAGCCTCTTATCTATACGAATTGAAGAAAATAATCTCTATTTAACAGTAGATTATAATGTTCTATTAGTTTTGTTAACTAACTGTCAGTTTTGTTAGTTGACTGTTAGTATCCGTTAGCATTCCGTTAATAGAACTAACAAATACAATTGAATTTAAATTTTATATTTTTTATAACGGATGTTAACAGTCAATTAATATAATGTTATAACCTGATATTATGTGAGGGCTATTTTCTTTAATTCATATTGATGATGGGTTAAAAATATCATAATATAAGATAAGAGGTTAAAACTTACTAATTTTGTAAGGTGAGGAGGTAAAACTTATCAACTTTGTAAGATAAAAGACTAAAATTGTCATATTATAAGGTGAAGAGTTAAAACCTATCAATTTTGTAAAGTGAGGGGCTAAATGTTGGTTTTTGTCAAAATGTTGCAAGTAAAGAATTATGACTCACCAGGCCCAACAACTGTCTACGAACTGGGCAGAGACTCAATTACAAAGCCCAGCTTAAAATTGATAGAGACCCAATTGAAAGGTCCAAGAAAACAAAAGCCCATTCTAATTAACATTATTATTATTATATTCACGTGTCGTCATCACCTTCTCACATGACGACAACAAATGTGTATTATCTCTCTTTCTCCGAATAAAGACAAAAGAAACCGCAGCTAAGCCAACGAGGAGCGCAAAAAAAAAAAAAGGAAGGGAGGGTGGCGCAGGCGCACCCCACACCACCCACCATCCTCTGCGGTGGGGGTGGGGCTGCCCACCAGCCACCAAGATTTATGACGGTCAGAAAAGGTGGGCCTAGGTGCGGTGCACAACTTAATCAGGGCCCCCGTAGCGCACGTTAGCCCACCTCCACTCACGCACACCTAAGCGGTGGCCTCATCCCACCTAGATCTCAAATTCAGCCGCAAACCCCACCTTTTAACCACCATTCAATATGCCACCAAACCCCACTTTCTCCTCCTCCTCCTCCTCCACCACCTCGTCCTCCTCCTCCGAAGGAAATCTCATCTGCTTTTCTCATCCCTTTCATACCCCTTTTATTAAAGTGGGTCGCTTTCTTTTCTCTTGGTCGTCTTCTGATAAGGTCGGCCCTAACCATCTTCATTGACCTTGGGGGATACCGGATCTTAAGTCGAAACCCATGTCTAACGCATCGTCACCGTCGCCTCCGCTGGATCCGTCGTCGCACCCATCGCCGTCGCCACCACCACCACCACTGGCAGCGTTGGCACTACCAGCTACCCTTCCGTCGTCGTCAACTCCGCCGGCTACCTCTACTGTTACTCCGAACCCACGGCGTCTCCCTCCGCCTTGTTGGTCCCATGATGAGACCGTTGCCCTGATTGACGCGTACCGCGATAAGTGGTACGCGCTCCGTCGTGGGAACCTCAAGGCGCCCCACTGGCAGGAAGTGGCCGAAGCTGTGGCCCGACGATGTCCGACTGCTTCGCCGCCGAAGACCGCTGTTCAGTGTCGCCACAAGATGGAGAAGCTCCGGAAACGATACCGGACTGAGATCCAGCGGGCTAGATCTATGCCCGTTTCGAGATTTTCTTCTTCTTGGGTCCATTTTAAGAGTATGGATGCCATGGAAAAGGGTCCTAAAGCGAAACCCAATTACAATTCGGATAGTGCAGATGAGGATAACGAGGATGACGATGAAGATGAGCAAGATCAAGATTTTTACGATGATGGATACAAGAACGGGAGTATCAATACAAGAAGTGTACAGAAGTTGTATCGAAACGGTATTGGCAATAATGGTGGTAATGTTAGGGGTGGTGCTGGGGGTAGTAGCGGTGGGTTTAGGATTAGGATACCCACCGGAGTTAGTATTGCTCAGCCAGCTCCAAAATTTTACGGCAAGATAGATCAGAAATATGCTGGAAATGCTAATGCTAGCCCTATCCATGGCAACCCTAACACCAATCCTAGGGCTAGTTTTGGTGGGGCTGTGGCCGGGTCGACATATGGGACAAGGGTTTTGAGAGGGTTTGAAGAATCGGCGGGGAAATCAACTTCTTCCGGGAAGAGGGAGAGGGAGAGAGATGCAGTGGCAGAGATGGTGTCAGCCATAAAGGTTTTGGGAGATGGGTTTGTGAGGATGGAGCAGATGAAGATGGAGATGGCTAGGGAGATAGAGACTATGAGAATGGAGATGGAGATGAAGAGAACTGAGATGATATTGGAATCACAGCAAAGGATTGTGGAGGCCTTTGCTAAGGCTGTTTCAGATAGAAAAAAGAAGCCTAAAAGAATGGCCTCACCAGTGTCTTGAGATGCTACCAATGTACAATAGTTTATGCTGCTTCTTGTTTACACACGGAGCAATCTGATTAGCTGTAGTCTCGTGTTGTTTGGATTGATATAAACTTAATTTCCAAAACTGGTGCTGTAGATTGCTTTGTAATGTTGTGATATATCTGTATCTTTGGTTTAAGGCTTAGGAAAGTTGCTGCTTTGCTTTTTCATGGTATTTTTTTTTTTTGGTTTTTCAGTGCAGTTTGCCTGTTTATGATTGATTGTAAATAGTGGATATGCTTGTCATGTGTTGTCATCTGTAGTCTATCATGGTATAGTATTGCCTCAGGGAGCTGTTTGATTGATCTAATTTCGGTGTTTTTTCTTGGCTACCTTAGACCTCATCAATAAGTTTGGATGTGCTATGGTTGTTGATCAGAGACATCTTCCTGCTCAAGTCACAACTTCAGAGACTGCCTATTTTACTGAAAAATTTGGTGGGTAAAGACGGGAAGGATGAAAATCTTGTTTATGTAGCAAAAGCCTTGCAATCTTGATCTTTTGATCGTCAAGCAAAATAGGCCTTGGTTAGCTACACTGCATCAATCTTGGTTGTAGACTGAATTGGTTTCTCCATGTCCGTATGGACCATTTTAAACCATTGAAATCTTGAACAGCGCGGATGATGACATTATTATGGCTAGTTTGCAGTTGTTTAATCCATATCATGTTATAGGTGAAGGGTAAGGTGATGTGCGGACATCTTTATTTTTTTTGTAGAACTTTTCCAAATAAATTTTACATATTCTTAACATGAATGAAAGTATAAAATATATTATGTGTCTTAGTAAAGTAAATAAAGCTAATTATTTAATTATATATAAAATTATATAAAAATTTTATACAAATATATTGCCTCTTAATTGGCTGCAATACACTTACAGTAGACTTTAGGCCGTCTAATCAAATAGCCATGCTTCATGGGCCATCTTAAATTCCTAATAATTAATCCAGCATAACCCTAACTATAATAAAATTGATAGTGTTCACACCGTTCCGGGGAAACCCAAGCCCATGGTTGTTGGGTTCGTGCATAGTCTTCCTAAAGGTGCATTGGGCCATAAAAACAGCGCAGGTGGACGAGATAAAATAAATAAATAAATAAATATAAAAATTATAGGAATCCATATTTCGGGATTGAACCCGACGTGAATCGAACACGCAACCTTCTGATCTGGAGTCAGACGCGCTACCATTGCGCCACGGATCCTTGTTGTACTTTCTCTGATTTTTATTTTTCAAATATTAAAATACTGCTGTATATAATAGCTATCAAAATATTTTTGTGTACCATTTTGAATTTATCGCTATAAATATATATTTTTATAAATTAAATATTAAATTTTAAAATAAGATAAGAGATACTACTGTTTAAAAGCATCATAATACTAGAAATTGAAAACAAGTTTAAAATGATTATTTTTAGTCCTTCAGCTTCTAATATATACATATTTTTTGTCTATCCACTTTAAGTTAAGAGACTAAAAATATGTATATTTAGACAAACTTAACGGAGTAATTGATAGAATAACTAAAAAAAAATATTTTTCATAGTTGATGGACTAAAAAAGTACATTAAAAAGTTAAAAGATGAAAATTAGATAAAACATTAAAGTTGAGGATCAAAAATAAAATTTATTCTTTTTAAATATAAATTGCGCCGTAATTTCTATATCGACTGGTACACTAAAATATTAGTTGATACGTCAAAGTTTGACCAAAACGATCAAAATTTGATCGAAACAAAATTAAATCATATATCATTTCGATTTAATATAAAAATCAATACGTACCAACTGTATCGACCGATACAGTACGATATCAACTATCCAGTAAAAATCACTTTCCAACCTTAATGAAAGGCAAAACAATCTTGAAATAATAAAAAATCACGTTTTATTTCAATAAATAAACTGCTGCACGAGTTTAGCCAATTTTGGGTTATCGTACATTACACCAACCTCTTCTTTAGTGTACAATCTTGGCAGGCATTCTATCAATGTATTCATATTTCAAACTACTACAAGGATACTTTCATATCATTTGAAGATCGATATAATGAACTCTACATACTGCTTGATTTGATGCCATGTTTCTTTTTGTGTCTTCAACTTTCAACGACTTCTCTTAATTCTTCCAAACCTCAAGGGAACTGGTCTCTCCAAGACAGACACGTTAATGTTGTTCCACACCTCTGGTTCTGTTGGAAGTTGAGCAATTTTCTCTACCATAGCCATATCTTCTGGAAGAACATAGCCAAACACGGTGTATGCTTTCTTCCACTCATTGTGATTAGCTAGGCTGATAATGAACCCTGGACCAGAACCAACCCATGCCACTGATCCCCTTCTCACTGTGGGGCAGGCCTCTAATGGAATATCCTTGAATGTAACTCCCTGTGCTTCAAGTGTTCCTTGAATTAGTGCAAATGGAGGGCCAAACGAAGCCTGCATAGGTCAGGGCATGGTGAGCAGCTCTTTAGAGTGAGAAATTCAATTAGGATGCAGAAAAAGATAAATGAGGGTTTTGAATGTTCAGTGATGAATGCATACATTTTACATAACATCATTAAAAGAAAGGAGAATTAAAGGGGTGTTAAAGGATGGTTCGATTAAATGGCATTGAATTTGAGAATAGCAGACTAAGAATTCAGTTTATTGCTAGCAGTTCAAGAAGGCGTTACATGTTCAATGTGGTTTCCATCAGAATCCCAAGAGCTTCCCCGGGCTTCAGCACGATAAAATTTGCAACCCGCACAATGGTGTAATGACATCAGCTCAAGAATATAGGAAACAGAATGTGGAGCGCAATCAGGTAATAGCTGCACATAAAGTAGCACAATAAAGAGTAGAATTTGCTTGGTAATCGTGGAGAAAACAAGCTAACAAAATAATCACAGTAAAATTCTCTATCACAGAGAACACAGATTTACATCACATCAATGGGGCACAGAAGAACATAAATAAAAACAAAAATGAAATTGACTTCATTCACCAATTTGTGAATGGGCATATATCTGTCCTTAAATCAACTCCAGAAGCCCAAACTCAAGTCTCCCAAATCTAAACTATAAACCTTTAGAATTTATGCATCAGGAACCAGAAGGTAAATTTTAGGCATCTCTTATCAGTGATAGCACATGCAAAAACTACAACTACAGCATCTCATTAACTGTGAGGGAACTATTTGGTTGGTGGTTTGCAAGCAGAAAACGTTCAAAAAAAGCTCATCTTGGTTTGTAGTATACATATATTACGAATTGATTGGACATCTCAGTCCCACAGCTGAAGTGCTTACTTTAACATGAAGAACCCCATATTCAGTTTTCAACTCGACAATACCCTACAAACAAAAAATCAAAGCACATTAGTGATGATTAGGACTAAGCACTATATTTCAGTGATATGAAGATTGACACAGTTGGTATGGAATAGATTTAATCAAACAAATAGAGGAGCACAATCAGCCTATTCTTTATTTCATTGGCACAAGACACTTTCCTGTTACTCTTCAAGGGTAACTTTGGAGAAAAAGGAATCAGAAAGAAACCAAAGTAGGGGATCCAAATAAAAAAATATGCAAGCATGTATAGTTAGTTGATGGTGGCTCAACAATATCCTTGATGGTGGCTCAACAATATCAACGACCAGTCTGAAGAAAACTTTGTATTGACACCTTTATCCAGTAACATTTCTATAGGAGAAAGAAAAGGAAAGCTCTTCATGTTTGAAGGGCAGAAACTCTCATTCTGCTAATATTACCCTGACTCCCAACACTTTCCTCACTTCCGTCTCTTCCCCCAGCCCAAGAAAAGATACTCACAGAAACAAATAATACATAAAATAACACGAATGACACCACTACTCCATTTGAAATGAATATCCTTTCCACCCCAGTCACCACAGTCCACTGGGAAATAAGTGCATGGGATGCTAGCATTCTGTGTTCATAGTACAGTAAAAAAAAGCTGATACTAAAAAGAAGAATAATACCTCCCCTTTACCAAATATTAACCCAGACGTCCACATAACTTGATCTCCTGAGTCTCGCCTATCTGGAACCAAGACATCCTTTTGTTTCTTCAACCAACACTGCAAGCAAGATAAAAGCAAATCTTAATTAGAATCAGCTATTCTACAGTACACACCCACTTTGAAGGTCATGAATCCTATAACCACTACAGTTGTACCAATATAAGATTATGAAGTAAAGCCCGAGACCCCCAATAAAAAAAAGGGGCAAGGATTCAATCAGCAGTTGAAATTGAAGTAGCAGAAAAATTAGATGCACTCTCACCAGCACAGCCGGGGGAAAAACAAAACTTTTAATTACCAATTCCAAGTCTTCAAATTTTTTATAAAAGAAAATCATTTCCACACAAGTAAAGAAGGTGGAAGCAATTAAGCAAGGGTCGGAATCCATACCTCACCAAATCTAGACCCACAGGCACCCCTGTTTCCACAAAACACCCAGGAATCACACAAACAAGGTCCATCATCACCCTTACACATCTCCTTGCAGGCCATGCAGCACTGCTCCGCAGAATTGGACTTGAACTCCGATCCCCATTTGACTGCATCACCCCATAATTCCAAATGCTCAATCCCTCTGCAACACTGGTTTTCCTCTTCTGTTTCATCCTGTTGGGTCCCCAGATCTTGAGTTGAACCAAAAGAAACTGTAACACCAGAGGGATTAAAGACAACAGAGAAGCAAAAATAAGCCAGTAAACAGGAGATTATCGCCAAGGAGAGAAGGGCCAGAAGAGCACAGCGACCAACTTCGACGTCGGTCTGTCTCCGACCCATGTTCCTGCCGACAAACCCAGAAATGAAATCCTCTGTCTTGATGCTACAAAATGTGGGTGTTGTAATTCTGGATTCTGGTTCTGGGTCTTACATATCTGTCGCCATCGAATTAAAAATTAGAAGCATCTGTCCAGGTATTACGGTTGACCCTGCGCCAATCAGAAATTACAAAAATGTTTTCATCTTTTATTTTTCTGGCTTCCGCTCCGAATTTCTTGTCCAAAAACTCACCCTGCCATGTAAAAAGCTGAAATCATTCAAACATGTTGAGTGGAGCTGTAAGTTGACGTACTTGACGCAAAAGCTCAGATTCTATGCATGGAATTTTGGAAGCCAATAAGTTCGAACAGTTAGATTATGTTGATTCATGCAAGGCTTTGTTATTACCATAACTTAACTAATAACTTAACTAATTCAATGGTAATTTTTTTTTTAAAATAAAAATTTTTAAATTTAAATAACATGAAATGCAAAAGAATTAAGATAATTATTTTTTATTTTACAATTAAAATAAAAAAATAATAATAAATAAGGCTTTATACTTATCATCATAAATTTATCCTAAAAATTATTTTTATTAAAAAAGCCTTTTAAATGGTTAAAAATTTAAAAGTTTAAGTTAAAAATTTTAAATTTGGATGGTGAAATAGATAAAAAAAGATAATAAA